AAATATAATTTAACTATTTTTTTATTTTTAAAATTAAAAATTTTGTTTTATTATAAATTATTTAAAACTATTAATCATTAATTATATATATAATTTAATTATTTCAAGCCAAAACGAGCCGAAAATGAATGTTTGTATATCGAGCGCAAGAAAATTGTTTGTATTCGACTCATTTGCTTAGCGAATGAATCAAACAAGAGCTTCTTAATGAGTCGAACACAAAATGTTCTCTCACAACGGACCGATTTGATAGCTATGTGTGTGTCTATATATATATATAGTGAAGTGTCAAAATAGTCCCCCACTATTTGTATGGGGTTTTTTCATTCTTAGAATTTATAGACATGTCAAAATAGTCCCTAGACTCTGTAAATTATGGTTGAAATAATATCCATATATTATAACTCAATTTTAAAATAGTTGTGAATATTTTAATAATTTACTATATATATATATATATATATGTATATATATATGTGTGTGTGTGTGCTGGAAAATTTGTGGAGGTCGAGTAATGGAAATATTGGGGGAAAGAAAACAATCATATGGTATTAATATTGCACTAGAATTCAACACACGTTAAGAGGAAAGAAAAAAATCAGTGAAATACATAAGAGAAATACACAGATATCATTAAAGAAATTAATGCACAATAGAAATCCAAAATGCATATAAACATGTAAATAGCACGCACACTCATCAATTACAAAAATCCAAAATAAAAATTAAGAAAGAAAGACAGAATCTGATGATGAGAAACAAAGACAACAACATCAAAGTTCAAACGATGTTAACACATAGAACAAACATATCAAGGCTGGTGCGACTCTTCCGGCTGCTGGTGCGGTATCTCCGGGAACTCCGGCTTGGGCAATTCATGTGGTATTTCTGGGAACGGAGGCAACTCTGGTTTGGGGAGCTCATGAGGAATTTCTGGCAAGTGCGGGATTTCAGGCTTGGGCATGTCATGTGGAATCTCCGGCAATGGAGGCAGTTCCGGTTTGGGTAACTCATGAGGGATTTCTGGCATAGGAGGGAACTCTAGTTTCGGCAATGGAGGAAATTCTAGCTTTGGCAGTGATGGTTGCTCCTCCTTTGGTGCTTCATCCAGCAGAACACGAGCAGAGTTACCCGAGAAAACGAGTGCCAGAAGAACTGAGCAGATGATGATTTGTGATTTGGAGGCCATCTTTAGAGAAGTTGGAGAGTCTGGATATGATGGAAGGAGGTGGCAAATGCATGCGGTATTTATAGTAGAAGTAAGGGAGAGCTCAAACTTCGTTTGTCTACTTTGTATGAAGCTTGTCATTGGTTAATTAATAACTTATTAGCCTTAAATAATTTTAAGTCAGTAAAGTTGGTGGCTTTCTTTTGATCAGTTGGTTGTGTTTGGTTTGACCCGAAGAGTTGTTTTAGAGGGTACGCCTAAAAAGTCATTGATTTTATTTTTAATTTGTGCTCCAGATTATCTCAAAATTTCAGTAAAATATTAATCATATTTTTGATAAAAACATTTATCTTATGATAAAAATGACAACAATGTCATGAAAATAATTTTAATGTAATCAACATATTGTTGACGTCAAAATAAATGAATACAAATAAGATCAAGTTCTCTTGTACGATGAATCAATGTATCCACGAACAAGCAATGGTTATGTTTGTAAAAAATATTCATGTATGATTTTGACGAGTTTTTTGGGATTGCATTTGCATAATTAAGTTATATGAGTGCTGAAAAAGTTAATGTTCGTAGTGCAAATTCAGATGTAAAAATTTTCTTATTCCTAATAATATTACAGTTCATTTATACAAAAAAGTGTGTATGACGGACGATAACGAATGCTATGACACATAAAAAAATGTACTCACATCGATTAATAGCATAGAAATAAGACCAAACTGGGTCATATACAGTTTTTTTGGTGGATATGTAATGGGTCAAAAATTATGCAAGAGGGATTCACAAATATATCTGTGAATTTTTATTTATTTACATATATAATATTAAATTTTTATATTTATTTATATGGCAGCCAAATAACCAGACCATATATATATATATCTCACTAACATTAACTTATTGAGTTGTGGAGCTTGGAAGAGCACCCACGGCCGCAAGAAACCACGCCAAGCAGCGGAAAGGTTTCAATGTGTGTGTATACAATATGCAAGGGTTAACAAAATTTCATTGATCAAATGTAACAATTGCAAGTACCGGTCAATAAGATGGAAATCGTTACAAAGGATCCTTCACTGCCAAAGAAAGCAACCATCTGGCACAGTTGGAATTAAGAAAGTGATACTCAAATTGTTAGACACATTATGGGCGGCCGAAGGCCTTTTTTTTTAATATATATATATGAAATTACATTTTAGGAGGTACTTATAATAGCTAAAGAAATCAACCTAAACAGGTAGCTAGCCACGTCAATCTCCCCTCAAATTCCTAGTTGGGGGCATCTGTTTGTAATGCTAATTTTTTCTTTTCTGATATGAATATTGATCAGAAGGTGAGCTAACGCAAATTCTCTCTCCCTCGGCTAAGTTTCTTCTCCGAGCGTCAAACCAAACACAAAAAACTGATCAGAAGAAAGCCACCAACTAAACTACTTTAATTTATTAAACTTATTAAACAAGGTAAGCTTCATACAAATTCCGGGAAATTAAGTTTCAGCTCTCCCTTACTTCAATTATAAATACCACATGCAGTAGCCACCTACTTCCATCCTATCCAGACTTTCCACTCTTCTCTAAAAATGGCCTCCAAATCACAGATGATCATCTGCTCTCTTCTTCTGGCGCTCCTTTTCTTTGGTGACTCTGCTCGTGTTCTGCTGGAAGAATCACCAAAGGAAGAGCAGCCATCACTGCCAAAGCTAGAATTTCCTCCATTGCCGAAACTAGATTTCCCTCCTCTGCCAGAAATCCCTCATGAGTTACCCAAACCAGAGCTACCTCCATTGCCGGAGTTTCCGCATGACTTACCCAAGCCTGAAATCCCGCACTTGCCAGAGATCCCTCATGAGCTCCCCAAACCAGAGTTACCTCCTTTGCCGGACATACCACATGATTTGCCCAAGCCGGCATTGCCGGAGATTCCTCACCTGCAGCCGGAAGAGCCCCACCATCCTTGATGTGCTCTATGTGTTACTGTCGTTTGAACTTTAAAGTCGTCGTTTTTGTTTTTCATCATCAGAATGTATCTCTCTTTTTTTTTTTTTTTTTTTTTTTTTTTGATTTTTGTAAGTGATTACTGTGTGTGTTATTTACGTGTTTATATACATTTTGGATTTATTGTGTGCATTAATTTCTTAATGATATCTTCTTATTTCTCTTATATATTTTACTCTTCTTTTTAACATTTGGTGTTGGAATTGTATGATATTCTCATAATAACATAATTATTTGTTCTTAAAAGGAAAAAATATATGAAAATTGCAATAAGATAATTAATAACGAGCGTTCCACAGGCAGGTAATAATTATCCACTGTATGCGCCGTGATGAGTCTAGCTGAGCTCGAGCCCTCCATGGCTTGAACTTTAGTTTGATTAATTTTATGGAGTTTGTGCTCGAGCTCGAGCTTAAGTCTACGAGTTCGAGTCTGCTCGCGAGCCGGTTTGATTAATATAAATGAGAGCAAATAATATTAATTTAAACTAGTTTTATTATAAGATGAGAAATATAATTAACAATTATGAGATAAATAATAAAAAATCACCGAATAAATAATAAAAAATATTATTTTTTTAATATTTTTAATACCATAAAGATAAAATTTTGAAACTTTATATGTTTTAAACATATTTTATAATAGTTTTTTTTTTAACGAGTCAGCTCACGAGCTAATTGGTCGAGTTGGGGCTGGCTTGAGCTTGGCTTGTTAGCTCATCGATCTCAGTTCAGGAGCCAAGCTCGAGCTGGCTCACGAGTCGGCTTGACTCACATACACCTCTATAAGTACGTTAATTACATACCTTTTCATATGTTGGTTGGATTAAATAAAGCGACCCAAAAACAAAGATGAGATCAGAGAGGGCTCAAAATACATTCAAATGACATAGTAGCACTTAGTAAAAAATCAAGTGAATCATAATAATTGAATCTTGAAGCACGAACTCATCAATAACTAAGCAAGCACAAAATAGAATCCAACTTAGACACCTCATCTAACACCCAAAGTGACATCCAAAACACTAAGCATTTCAAAGAAAACAAACAAAAAGCTAGGGTGCTGGGTTGGAAATGCAATAAAGGACACAAAGGGATATACTATGTTAGCCATGAGCTAAGAGATGAACCTGGAGTTGAAATTTCACAATAAAATGATAAGTGATGCTTGGTTGTGCATGAAAGTCCAACTGAATAGATTGGTCGTTATTAACAATCTCATCAAAAGATTAAGTTAAAGCCGGTATAAACAATCATGAATTGATGCTTACAAGTGGAAGAAAAGAGAGAGAGAGATATAGTTGCCCCGGGCGGGAGGGGGGGGGTAGATTTGCATGGAGGTTGAAAAAGAGAGCCTAGGGATCTATTTTTACATCTAGGGGATCACAATGTATCGGGTGGGGGAGGGGGGAAGAATATTACATTTATGCCCCTGTTTCAAGGAGAGTTGTGAGGGGTAATGTGATCCTTTCCCTGCTTAACTTTGTCTCTTTGGAGTGTTCTTGTTGCTAGAATTGTTGGCATCAGGTGACCGACCCAAGATGGTTGGCGCTTTAACAGTCGGCCTTCGATGGTCAGCCTTTATGGTCGACCCTTTGGTGGTTGGCCTTATGTGGTCTCTTTTGATGGCTGGTCGGCCTAAGTAGCTGGCCTATTTTAGCTTCCTCTATTCAACAAAAGCAAAGGTTGAAGCACTTATTTGCTTCAATTTCTCAGATAGCGATAATCATTTCACAACTGCTAGAATTGTTAGGAACAGAGTGGACGGTTTATGGTCATATAGCTAGCAACATTCTAAGAGCTATAATTTTTCAAGCTATTCTAATTTCTATGCTATAGTCGCCAATTAAAAGTGTTGTGTGCACTTAATTATAGTTGGTTGAGGCAGTGGTGGGAGCCTCGGTGACCGTCGATTGAGGTCAAGATTGACGGTCGCGATTTTCTTTGAGGTTGGAGCTCCCACAGATCACCAGCAATACACGACATGTTGATTCACTACCATATCTGAGGACGAAGAACACAAATTTTTGGCGTGGCTCAGAGCCGTAGTCACGCCAGCATCGGGCCTGTCCATGCCTGAGAACATCCAGACATGGCTAATCCCAAACTGGATGTGACTAGCTTAGGAAACTTTCGAACGTGGGCACGCTCGGATCTGCGTGGATGCACCTGTCTAAGGGAAAGGCAAGTGTGAGTGAGCGGAAGTGCGTAGACACGTGCAGCCCAGTGTGCGGGCGTGTTCGCACATGGACGCAGGCTCTCATGCACGGGAGTGAGTGCGCGTGCTTGTGTGTATGCATGCACACAAAGGTCTCTGCTTGTGCACAAGTGCTCGCACACATTTCTTAATCGAGGAAACTTAAGGATTTTAAAGGCAGGTTTGATCTTGGCTATTAAATTAAGGATTTTAAAGGCAGGTTTGATCTTGGCTATTTTGTCTCCAGGGTAAGGCAGTTGAGTCCAAACATGGGTCCCACCCTATGACGATCACTTCTTTGACGAAAGCTCAAATGAGCCATGGATTGGTTGTTCCTAACTCAATTTGAGCCAGCTTCAGACTCAAGTTGGATGCGAGTTGGTCGTGAGTTCGAACGAAGGGTTGACCAAAAGTGAGGTCAACGATACTGACCACTAAAGCCACTAACTTATGTTGGGCTCTCACTCTTGAATTCCCTTAAGCACATATACTCATTTTATAAAAGATTATAAAGATAATCTAGTGTCAAAATAAGATTGTAAATCGTTTCCATAAATAAAGTAAAATTATTCAACTTATGTGGACTTGGTGAGATATGCTATCATGGTCCGCCAAATTGTGATATGTGCGGATGTGCAACTTAGCGGTAGTGGACTCTCGTTTAAGCATTGGCCTTTATTAATATGTAGAAAGGTTAGGAAAAAAATTAAGTATAGAAATCATTTCAATGCATTGAATAAATCTTGCAATATCCCTCTTGTGCATAGTAAGGGTGAGCGATCTTGCAAAGTGTATGGAGGTGCCCATGTCGCCACAATCTGAGGCCCGATTCTACTGTGTTGTCTCCCTTTTTTTGAGATGCTCAAGAGTAGCCTAGGCTTTGAAAAATTTAGCCCGGACATCCTTGCTTATATAGACAGGCCTCTGTTCCTTCCTCTGAATAGTGGTGAACATAAGTCACAAGAAATTTTGTCATCGGATCTCAAAATTCTTCTAGTTCTACTGATGACGCTCAACATCCCAACAAAAGTCCATCTTCAATTTGACAAATATCAATCAAAATCTATTATCATAAAGATATTATTTTAGGTAATATATATAAATCAAAATTAGTTAAATTTATCTCAAAATCCCAACCACCTGTCTCAAACCTTGATAGCGGACTTCTTCTATGATAGATATGGCCATGATAGTTATGGAGCATTATATCTATTCTTGATGATTTCCATGAACTTATGGATAAGCTTCCTATATGAATGAAATCTGAAAAACTATAAGTTATATATTATAATAGAGAGAAAACAACAATTACTATAATTCATATTACTTATGAATCTCTATCCGAAACAATGTGTAGGCCTCTTGAGATGTCCACTACACCAGGACAGACAGGAGCTAGGGTGCTTGTGTCGAAGGCTGAGGTGGTAGTGTGATGGGAGTTTTAGGGGTTTGGAAAGGCTATGTATTCGAAATGGAGCAATTGGTCGGGCGAGCATCAGCGTAGCGGTCGTAGTGCTGATTGTCAAATTCAAGCTCGTCTGTATGATGGGTTATGAAGTTGTCTACTTATTTCTCTAAAAGAAGTTGAAGAAGGCTAGTCACAGAGAAATGTTTTTATTGGATGCAATCTATCATATATTCATGATATAAAATTTTAGATATTCATTACTGTCCTATAAATTTAATGATAGAGACATTAAACACATTAGTTAACTAATTTTTTCATACATGTCTAAAAATAACAATTGAAGTTGACATCCTAGCTAGGTAAATACATAACTAACACCCAATTCTTTTATATCATATGAAAAGTATCGCTATTTTAATTTAAAAAAAAGAAATAAATCTTCTCATGGATAGCTAATTTAGCATATATGAAAAATTGATTTCCATGCATAACATTTTTTCATTGTGACACTCATATTTTCCCAAAAAATAAAGAAGAAAGATTTACAACTGATTTTTATTTTTAAGGTAATTGTTACTTTCTTTTTTTCATTGCTGGAGATTCCACATGACTTGCCCACGCCGGAACTTCTACATTTACCGGAAATCCAAAGAGCTACCGCCATTGCTGGATATATCTCATGTGTTGCCCAAGCAGGAGTTGTCGGAGATAACTCCCATGCAGTCGGAAAAGCCTCACAACCTATGATGTGTTTTGTGTCTTACTGCTCTTTGTGCTTTGAAGTTCTTTTCATCATTTGATTGCAAAAAAGTTTAACAATATGTAACAACCGTGTAAATGAATAGACAAAAAGAATAAGAATGAATAAAATTATAAGAAATCTAACAATAAATGCAACAAATGATCCAACGCAATAGTGTGAATAAAAGAAGTCTAACAAAGACTTTATGCACAATTAAAATAAAACCTAATCATCCTGATAGTCCTCCACCTCGATCTAAGGTAGCTTGTCCCTGCGATGCGTATCACTACAGTTGCTTAATGATGGCCTCAATTATCTCAACCCTGTAATCATTGGATTTCCATTATGCATTCATCCTTGATTCCATCTCATGTAGATCAACAACGAATTTGGTTAGTAAGTCCTCGATGAGTGCAACCACACTCCCGAAAACTTCATTATCAACTGATGACAATGTCAGATCGGAACCAGAGTGCTCGGCCTTATAAGAAAATCCACGTGCTCCCAGGCCTTAGTCCTTCCAAATCTCCCCTCCCCCCCCCCCCCCCCCC